CTTTTTTCAGTGGTGCCCAGGGACAGGACAAGAGGAAACGGGCACAAAATTTGAATATAAGAAGTTCCACCTAAACATGAGGAGGAACTTCTTTGCTGTGAGGGTGGCAGAGCCCTGGCAGAGGCTGCCCAGGGAGGTGGTGGAGTCTCCTTCTCTGGAGACGTTCAAACCCACCTGGACACGTTCCTGTGCAACCTGCTCTGGGTGGCCCTGCTCTGGCAGGGGGTTGGACTAGATGGTCTCCAGAGGTCCCTTCCAACCCCACAGCATTCTGTGATTCTGTGAAACATTGGATAAAAACTCTCCTAAGAAGCTGTTCCCCAGTAGGTCACCGACAAGTATAATGTCTGAATTGTCTCTTCTCTCTCTGTGGTGAAGAGGAAGGTTAAACTGCACTCAGATCCAAATTAAACATTAGAAAAGACTTTCTAGATGTAAGAGTCAGGGTTTGGGTTGCCTAAGGAGGGGGTGTGCATTTCCAACATTTTTTGGATCAAGTGAGACAAATATTTGTTACAAGTGACATTAGTGGAGTTAATCCTGGCAGGAGTCCAGCCGACCCTGCCGGCACCTGTATATTTTATGATGAAATGACACTCAGAATTGTCCTAAAAACGAAGTTCCTGTGAGGTGTCAGCTTGTGTGTGTGCCTTCTGCTTTGGTGCAGTTGCTCTGACGAACCTGGAAGACATTGAGAATGCAAAACGCTCCTATGAGCAAGCTGTGGCGCTGGACAAGTAAGTCTTGGTGGTGGCCTCCTCCTCCTCCTGGTTTCCTTTGCACTCTGTCCCTCCCTCTGCTCTCACCCCAGATGATTTGCAATAAGGAGACATTTTATCCCTGCAGCTGTGCAAGTCACTGGTTTAAAACCACCTTCTTTTTTTTTTTTTTTTTTTTTTTAATTTCAAATTCAGGTCAGCTCTGAAAAATGAAAGGGAAATTCTGTTTCAGACCAACCCGAAGCTGGTTTTTCTTTTGCTGTTTTGTTAGTGACTCAGCTGGGATGGCTTTGGATTCCAGTGAATATTTATTCCTGGTGAAGCAGGTTCAGTAGAAGAAAACCAGTCGTCCCGGAGTATTTTGTAACCCAAAGTTTGAGCTCTGCAGGGCGATGAGAAGCTGGGATAAAATCTGGGAGGAGAGGAGGTTTTAGCTGGGAGAACGTGGGCAAGAAGTTAGTATAAAGCATAGAGAAGGGCAGCAGTGGAGCCCTTTTTCCTTCATTTTGCCAGACAGACAGATATTTTCATAGTGTCTGTGTGTGATCTGGCTCTTTAAAATCACTGTGCTTGGTTTCAGAACCATGCAGTTCCTTTCTGTCAGCAAAACATGTTTGTCTCAAATTTACAGATGCTTTTGGCTCCCTGAGTCTGCTCTTCTTTACCTTTCTCTTGTCTGTCAGCAAAACATGTTTGTCTCAAATTTATGGATGCTTTTGGCTCCCTGGGTCTTCTTTACCTTTCTCTTGCGCTTTTCGGATTTTAATTAGTAGGTGATTAGATGGTGATTCTTCTCCTGGATTTATTGTGAATATTTGCTTGTTTGCAGCAGCCTCACGTTCGGATTTTAATTAGTAGGTGATTAGATGGCGATTCTTCTCCTGAATTTTTTGTTTGCAGCAGCCTCACAGTGCTCCTGAGCCCAGGACTCTGCTGGCCACCGAGCTGTGCCCAAACCACTCTTTCCATCTGCAGTGCCTACCACAAGGTGGCACGAGAAGATGCTGCTCCTCTCTAATCTAGGCTTAATTTGGGGAATTCTGGGAGTTCCTAAACTCATAGTAAAAGGGCAGCAGGTATCAAAAACCAGCGTTGGACGCTGTAGGTCTCTTTGCCTGGCCTTTCCTGACCAGCCTTCCAGCCATACAGCACCTTAGTCATGAATTTGTGTGCTTTTGGTCAAAGAGAAGGAATAGAAATTTAGCTCTACAACTTTGCCTAAATATTTGGCACCGCTGGGAGGCTACAGCTCTATTGTCTCACTGGGAAATAAACCCTCCTCAAAGCAGAAGTGAATGCCAACTGCCAGGCCCTGCTGTTGGAACATCCAGACTTTGTGAGGCTTGTTCAGCTGACGTGCTGTATATTTTAGAGCGTTATTGTGGGGCTGTTTCTGTGTCCCCACGGGCTGCCTTTGCTGGCACATGATGAACTCTTTGGCTGGGACGAAGATGGTGTTTGTTTCCATTGCCATAAATACATTTATAGCAGCGCTGTGACATTTGGCCCAGGTGCCCTGCTGGGGCCTGGAATGGAAAGCATCTCGGAAAAAAATCTTTAGAAAAGGTGTTTCTTCTCAGTACTGGTTCTAGCTCATTGCTGTCCCTGCTTTCTGAGGTCATTTAGCTATTGATTTTTCTGACTGTCCTATTGCTTCTCGGCTCTTGAAGGCAAATTAGCTTGATAAGGTTCAATTAATTTTAAACCTGGCTGTTCCCAGATCTGTCTGATCTTGGTTTTATTGTCTGGGTTTGGTTTTTTTGTGTTTTCTTTTTTTGGCTTTTTTTTTTCCCCCCAGAAGAGATGGGGGTTTTGATATTCTCTCCCCTTCTCTGGAGATCTTCAAGCCCCACCTGGATGCTCCCGAGCGATGTGCTCTAGGCGCTCCTGCTTTAGCAGGGGAGTTGGGCCAGATGATCTCTAGAGGTCCCTTCCAACTCTGACAATTCTGTGATTCTGTGATCATCAGTTTTTCATGCAGTTGTTCCTTTGCTTTGGCAAAGCCAGTGAGGAGAGTTTCATTTTTGTGGCAGGATCAGCGTTGCGGTTCCTCAGTTAAAGGAAACCCAATGGTTATGAATGCCATCAGATTTCTTCTAATAGTCTTCTTTCTTGCAGCGCTGTCGTATCACTTCCCAAGGATGGATAGTCATGGCCTGCAGGTGACACTCTCTGTTTGCAGAGTTAGAGCAGCCTGCAGTGCTCCTGGAGGAGGATGCTCTCTCTGTCTCAGCCCCAGGCCTGGTGCTGGAGCCCTTGGCTGGCTCCAGGTGTCCCTGCCAGGCTCCAGTTGTCCCTGCCAGGCTCCAGGAGAGGGCACCAGCCCCTCGCTCTGGTTTATGAGGGAGCAGTGCCAAGCCTCTCTCGTGATGGTCCCTGTCTGCAGCTCAGGTCAGACAGGGCTCTCCCAGGTGCCCCTGGGCAGCAGGTCCCCTGTCCCGACCACCACTGCTCCTCCAGGTCCCACCGTGCAGCCTGGGTGAGCCCAGCGCCTGCAGGAGACCCCAGTGGGGCTGGTGACCCTCTTGCATTTCATTTCTTTGTCAGGTTATACCCACACATTTTGCTTCTCCGAATTAAGGGTGAAATTGAGGCTGGGAAGGAGAAGCTTCCCTTCCCAATTCCAGAGCCATGGAGCCAGCTCACTCTTTCCCTCCAGTTTCTGCTCCCGCTCCTGGCTACGCCAGAGGAGAAGTGGCTGTTCAGGGTTAATGTGCCCGAGTGAAGAAAATGGATACTGCAGGAAATAAGAATATATGGAGCAATCATAGAATCATAGAGTTGCCCAGGCCAGAAGGGACCTCCAAAGGCCATCTAGTCCCACCCCCCCGCAGTCAGCAGGGACACCCCCAACTAGACCAGGTTGCCCAGGGCCTCGTCGAGCCTCTCCTTGAATATCTCCAGGGAAGGGGCCTCAACTACCTCCCTGGGCAGCCTGTCCCAGTGCTCCACCACCCTCCCAGTGAAGAACCCTCTCCTCATCTCCAGTCTAAATCTGTTCCCCTCCAGCTTGAAGCCATTGCCCCTCGTCCTGTCACTGCAGGCCTTTCTAAACAGGCGCTCTCCAGCCTTCCTGTAGGCCCCTTCAGGTACTGGAAGGCTGCTATTAGGTCTCCCCGGAGCCTCCTCTTCTCCAGGCTGAACAACCCCAGCTCCCTCAGCCTGTCCTCGGAGCAGAGGTGCTCCATCCCCCTGATCATCCTTGTGGCCCTCCTCTGGACCCTCTCCATCAGGTCCATGTCCTTCTTATATTGAGGGCTCGATTCTGCCTTTTCAAAATCCTCCTGTGCTGTTGTGCACCAGGGCTGTGCAGGGCAACAGGGTTATCTGCCATGTGGGCTTCTCTTGGAGTCCTTCGTTACAGGTATCGCCCGCTGTCCCCCCTAATGGCACACACACCTCAGTGTGCTTTTTCTGGGTGAATAAGAGAGAGGAAGGGAGGCAAATGAAATGTAAACAGCACGTTGTGTGGCATGTTGGCTTGGAAAATACAATCAGTAGGTGTGAGTCTGTTCCACTGCCCTGTCCCACGACAAGCTGTTCTCCTACAAACGGGGCCTGAGATGCGTCGGAGGGAGACCAGCTCTCAGTGTGATGAAAGTCCCCGTCACTGCTCTTCCTGCCCCAGGAGAAAGGGGCTGGGAGACCAGGCACTTGCTAAAGACAGTCCCGAGGTGGTCCCTGGCTCAGCAGAGTTGTTCCTATTGTCATTGATACTGGGGTGCTTTGCTGAGCCCAGGTTCTGGGGCTCTGACCAAGCACGTGGGACTCCACTGTGGTCCCAAAGGCCTCTGGCTGTGCAGCCCCACGTCTGATTCGGGGTCAGAGCGCCCCATGGCTTGTCTCTGCCAGACAGTGAGGTGCCCAAGCAGTGAAGCTGGAGACTTATCCTGGTGTTAGTCAAGTCAGGAGGAGTGTTCCCATGGTGAAGATGGTGCATCCCGTGTGTTTGCTGCAGGTGCAACCCCCTGGTCAACCTGAACTACGCTGTCCTGCTCTACAACCAGGGCGACAAGAAGGGAGCCCTCAGCCAGTACCAGGAGATGGAGAAGAAGGTCAATGTGGCCAAGGAGAGCAGCAGCTCTCTTGACTTCGACCCTGAGGTATGACCCTAACAGTTGTCAGCGGGAACTAAGTAGCCGTGCGCCGACCGGCAACAAACGAGGGGGAAATTTGACTTTGGAGCCCAATTATTAGGCAGAAATTCTGCTTATGGGATTTTCCGAGTAGAGCAGTCGCCTGCTGAGAGCTGCTCGCTTCATTTCTGCTCTTTGAAGCCCAGTTCTTCAATCAATACACAGCAAGACAAGATTCCTTCTTAATTAAGGGAATGAATTAGCGGAGATGTTTCCCTCGAGCAGCGAGGCAGTAGTCAGCTCTGCACAGCTCTCTTTTTTTTTTTTTTTTTTTGGTGTTGTTGACTTTTTATTGTTGTCTGAAGTGTTCCTGTTTACAAGGATCTCCTCTTTTTGTTGCTCGAGAAGATGGTGGAGGTTGCCCAGAAGATGGGAGCTGCTCTGCAGGTGGGGGAGAGCCTGGTCTGGACTAAGCCTTCTAAAGAGTCCAAATCCAAGCAGCGAGCTGCTCCGGCGGGGAAGGCCTCCAGCGCTCAGCAGCCTCTGGGCTCCAACCAGGCCCTGGGGCAGGCCATGTCCTCAGCTGCAGGGTATGGGAAAACCATGCAGCTTCCCCCAGGTACTTCTCTCCTCCTTCTCTGTGAAGTAGGGCTGTGGGAGGGGAGAAGGGGAGAAGGGAAATCCCTCTTTGAGTACAGAGTTACAGCACGTGTTCGGGAAGGTATTGACGTGCTTACCCAGTAGGGATGTCAATATTTGGAAACGGCTTTCCCAGTTTTCTGGGTTAAGGAAGGGTGGAAGGGAGATGCTCTCTGAGGTGAGTTGTGTTCAAGGCCAGGCTGGATGGCTATTTGAGCAACCTGGTCTAGTGGGAGGTGTCCCTGCCCATGGCAGGGGGGTTGGAACTAGATGATCTTTAAGGTCCCTTCCACCCCAAACCATTCTATGATTCTATGATTCTATGATTATCCTGACCCTGTTAGCCTGGGATTGAGCTCCTGCTCCGGGAAGGAGGTGGTTTCAGAAACCAGAGCTTTGGAGAGAAGGGAAATGATGGGCAATTTTCTGAAGCTCTTTATCAATTCTGTTACAAAAATGACTGCGACGGGGCTGCTTTGCAGCTGCCCAGCCAGGTCCCTCCCTCGCAGATGTGGCTGAATTAATTACCTCTTAGTGCTGGCCGCTGGACTGAGGGTTGCTCAGGAGATGGCATCAGCCTTGGAAGGCTTTGGCCAGTATCTGTATGAGCTGCTTCTCGCTGGGGCTGGGGAGGAGCATCTCCTGAGCCGTCCTTCGTAGCCTGACCTCCTCTCACCCCTTGGCTTCCCAGGAGGAATGTGCTAGAGATACTGCTCATCGGGGGGATTTTCTGTCACTCTTCATCTTGTTTCCTTGGGACCAAGCCAGGCGAGAGGCTGAGCAATCCAGGCCTCTTTCTTTGGTGCCCCCAAGGACCTCTGCCATTTCTCACGCGTGGAATAAACTTTCCATGCAGGGAAGGCTTAGGAAAGGTGAACAACAAAGCATATGGGAGTTTGGAAGGACTAAAGACCTGAAGAACTTTATCAGTCCACATCAGAGCAGGGAGCTGGTTCATAACAGCAGTTGTCAGCCTAAATCTAAGCGTAGAAACAGCTTCAGCAGGGAAGTATCCTGTTTTGATTTTACTCTGTAAGAGGCTACTTGTACTGCCTGGAAAGTCTCCCCGAGTTTGCTAAAGCTGTGAACTGAGGACAACTCTGTGGGTTTGGCTCGAGCTTGAGTATGAAGCAGCTTGAGTGGAGCTGTTTTCCCTTCCCAAGTGTGAGCCAGTTCCTGAGTTTGTGCTGACCTCCCCCAGCTGAACCAGAGCCTGTACCTGAGCGTCCCTTCAGCGGACCTTTGGGCGCTGCAAGGTCTCTGGCTGGAGAACTCCTGAGTTGGGTGCTCGTGAGCTACTGCTCAGACAGGACAGAAGAAATTTGAGAGTAATTAATGCTGGGGTTGTTCTGCATCTCCGTGCTGCCCGGAAGGGCAAAAAGACTAGACTAAAGAGGTGTGGTCACATAGTAACTGTGACTGTGTTCTCTCCCCAGGCGCTGGAGCATCAGCTCCCCTGGCAAAGCCTCCCTCCCTGCCCCTGGAGCCAGAACCAGGCTCCGAAACGAGCCCCGAGGAGACCCCAGCACCACCAGGGACGGAGGAACAGAGGAAGGAGAAGCGCAGGAGCCGGCAGGCAGCAGAGTAGGACGGGCTCTGGTGGAGACAGGCAGGTGCAGATCATCTCCAGCACTGCCTGTGGACTTGTGGGGAAAGGGACCTGCCCTCTCCCCTGACCCACAGCGGCTTCACCCCACTGTCAGTTAGTCTAAATGCAGCTGTTTTCTGTTAATGATTTTAGCACGTGGTCTCTGCCTTCTCCCAAGGAATGGTTGCAGCGACCAGAAGAGGTTTTGTGTAGCTACTGTTAGTGTGGTCCCAGCTTCCTACAAGAGACCGGAGGATGGAGATCCATCTCTCCAGAGATGGAGGTCTTCAGTGTTTGGGTGTAAGTCCTGCAGAGGGTGCTGGGGCAGGCAGTGTGTTTAGAAGAGCTGGCAGTAGTGAGGTAGCATCCTGAGTAGTAGCATCCTGGACGCTGAGGAGGGTCAGACCCTCCTAGTGGCTGAATTTGAAGCGGCTGAGGAAGCCCCCAGGGTCAGTGGGAGCACGCTGGGAGAGGGGTGAAGGTGAGCACCAAGAGCAGAGCAGAAAGCCAGGCCGGGGACAGGCACATCCTGGAGTGATGGGCTTGGGCTCCCCATTTCACACGGGCAAGACTCCGTAAATGCTTTCTCAAGGCTGAAGGGAGGAGGCCGGGTGTTTGTTGGCCACTGAGCCGGCTCCTTTAGGAACCATCCACCTTCCCATCCCAGGATCACTTTGCATTTCTTGAGTCCAACCTGGTTTTAAGAGCAAACTTCTACGTGGTAGCCCAGAAGGTTGCAAAGCTGGCCCACAGCAAGGCAGGGGCTCAGGGGCTGAGCTGCAGCAGCAAAAAAGTCTGTAATTCCTCATCGTTTGCTGATAAAGAGGGTAAATGAGCTTCAGTGAAGCTCCGTGCTCCCGGGATGGGGGTTCCTCCTGGAGAATTGGTGTTGCCCAGCATGGGGGGAAGGATCGGTTTGCAGGGAACACAAGAGCAAGCCTTTTGGGAAAAGCCACATGGTCGGCTTCGATGCTCAATTTAAATTGTTTTAGTGGGACCGCAGCCACGTGCTGAATGGTTTAGCTTCGATGCTCAATTTAAATTGTTTTAGTGTGACCACAGCCACATGCTGAATGTGGTTGTGCCCTCCTTGCAGGTTAATTTTGGGAGAAATCACTTCTGCTCACTGCAAGGCGACAAAGCAGCCCGTTGGTTAGCAGAGCCAGGAATTTAATGCCCCTGTGATACTGGAGAAGCTTTGGAAACGTTTCCATCCCCGAACAGCGCCATCTCAGCCTTCCCTTTCCCTGTCCGTTTGTTGCCTCTGGGATTTATCCTGAGCTTGAGACAGTCCCTCAAAAAAACTGCTGTTGGGAACTAAAGGAAGGACCATCACACTTTACAGAAAGACCTAGTAATTGGGTTAAATGGAGGGTTTTTTCCTCATCTGCATACTGAGAAGGCCACAAAGCCACCGTTGCCCGGGGGACTTGCCCTCTGAATTCTCCCAGCGGCACATGTAGCGCTTCCCCAGCGAAGCCGAAGGTTCGGGCTCAGTGTGTTTGTATTTTAGACTCCCTCCCCAGCTTTTTAAAATATATTTCCTGCTTTTATTTCTGCGCTGTTGCGTTGTCTGGCTCCATAACTAACGAGTCCATCAGAGCACGGTTGCTCACGGGAACTTCTCTGTAGCCTCAGCGTAGGAGCAGCGTGATGGAGCTCGGGACCCACGAACACCCTCTGGTTGTTGTTGGGTGGCTGCTGTTGCCCACAGTGACCTTGCTGCATCTTCAGAGCGTAACCAGGACCTGCAGTGCTGTCCTGCTCCCCGGAGAGCACTCAAAGAGTAGGAACCCCTCACTTCTCCTCTCATTGCCCAAACTGCCTCCTTAGCTCAAGAGTGGCTTTTTTTCCCCATCCTCTGCTGCTGGGGCTGTGTGGGTGCAGCTTCAGGGCAGTGCCCCCGAAGGGCTTCCCTCGGGCGAGGAGCTGAAGGAAACAAGAGGATTTTGGTGGAGCAGCAGGGAATTTAAACAAAGCAGCCAAGAGGCAGCGTAAATCGGGTACGGTGCAGCCATTTTATTCACATTAAAGTTTTTACACAGAAAGTGGGTGCAGCGTAACAGAGCGCCTGGGGAAGAGAGGGAGGGTGGGGGGAACTCTTCACCCCCAGAACTTTAGTTCCAGACATTTTTTTCCAATAACATCTGCCTGCTGTAAATATTTTAGTCTTATCACAAAGGTGTTCAAGCCGTGGAAGTTCCAGTAGAAAGAAGAGTGAGCAGAAGAGGGTGGTTCCAGGCAGGTGGGCACCAGCATCGCTGCTGCGGGAGGGTTCCCCCCATCTGCTCGTGACCCTTCCTTGTGACTTTACCAGCTGTGGAAGTCCCAGCAGAAGGAAGAGTGAGCAGAAGAGGGTGGTTCCAGGCAGGTGGGCACCAGCATCGCTGCTGCAGGAAGGTTCCCCCCATCTGCTCGTGACCCTTCCCTGTGACTTCATGAGCTCCTTTCCCCGCCTTCTGCTGGGTGTGAAAAAGGAAAGTGACCTCAGACTGGAGCACTATGGAGCTCCTCTGCTACCTTCAGCAGATGGGAACAGCCCTCGTCCCACCTCACCCTACAGCCAGAGACCAGGAACAACCACAAGTCTCCCCTCTCTCACCCAGTGCCACCAGTGCTGTTGGGATGGGTTTATGGGGAAACATCACCGGGTGGTACAGAGGGTGTGCTACATTTGGAGGTACTGTAAATATATATATATAATTCTGTATTTTGGTGAAAAGCTTACGCAGACAATGAACCAGTTCTCCTTCTGTGAAGCAGCAGCACCTTCTTCCTTTGGGGATTTGAACAGAGCAGGAGGGAGCTTCGTGTCTAAGAAAGCATTTTTAGCTGTGTAATTACAGTGGGGTAATAAATAGAGCTGCAATTCCTCATCCTGTCCCCTCTCGGTGCCGTGAGGATGGCATCTGCATACAGTAAACCCATGGTATCTTTAAGGAGAGGGGGTTTTGTGCTGTCTGATGATGAGAATGAAGCTGGACTGGTCTCTGCATTGAAAATAAGGCAGGGATTTTTCAGCAGGACCACGCTAAAACCATTCAGGGACTTTGGAAACCGCTCCTTATGTTCCAAAACCTGTTTCTGGCATCAGCCATAATTCTGATCTTCTCTTTTCCCCCCCTAATTGAAATTTTAAGATGGAAAGGAATAATGAGCTTAATTTCTAGGGAAGTAGAAACCATCTGCTTTAGGACTTTTTTTCCTCTTTTTAGAAAAATGTCTATCATCAGCCAGGTTAAATCACGCAGCTTGGCTTCCTCGCTGGAAAGAGACTAGAAAACCCTCCCACAGCAACACCTGAGCAGCGAGACCTTGTTTCAGCCACAAGCAATGACCTGCCCACCCAAGAGCAATGACCTGCCCCCCCAGCACCGTGTGCTCCACCCAGACATCGTGGGGTTTGAGGTCCCCGAGACAACGGGGTTTGTGATGGGGCAGCGTCAGCGTGAGCCCCCCCCTGCTCCCGGACAACACTGAGCAAGGAGGACCTTGGCTCCTACTCAACGTCCTCTCCTTGCCCAAGGTGTTAAAAACTGAGACTTCCCCCTTGGGAAGTGGGTTTCAGGCAGCAAAGCCTCTTCTCCAGGGACAGCCCAGCCTCGGTGCTGAATGAAGAAAACCAAACTTTACTAAAATCATAAGCTCTACAGAGAAATGTGCTCAAAACCCCACCTATTGCCAAGTTGTTCACTCTTTTAGATACTAGAGAAGACAGTTGTGCTGCAAGGAAAGCTTCGCCACCCCCTCGAACCAAACTGCACACAAATTAGTGCTTTTTAACGAAAGGTGAGGTTGGAACCCAGTTTTCCCCGGGAGCAGCTTTCCTGAGAAATTCAGAGGGGAGGGTTTCAGGGGATTTATTTTTGTTTGTTTGTTTCCCCCACATGTGTTTTACTGAGATGGTCCCCCCCAGCTGCCAGCCTTTGTGTTCTTCAGCCACTACGGGCTGAAGTGGGGGGTTGGGAACAGACACCATTCCCAGGTTTCCAGCCCACGTGTGTCTCCTTCGCTGAGAGAACACCCTCCCACCGGAGCCGGGATCAGTGACTCCCTGAGGATTCAGCCTGGGAGGTGCCGAGGATCCACCTGAGATACTACACAAGGAACTGCTCCTTCTGTTACAGGAGAGAGTTTCATCTCGTGTCTCTGAGCAGCCACCAGAAGGATGTTCTGCCTCCTGGGTGAAGTTCAGAGTCGGGGCTGGTGGAGCAGGGCTGAGGGACACACTGCACACAACAGCTTGTTGCACGTGGGTTTCCTCTGCCCCCACCCCCCCTCAAACTTCACAAACCCCAGGGCAGGGGGGCTGGGACTCAATGATTGTTAAGGCCCCATCCAACTCTAACCATTCTAAGGTTAATGAAGAGCAAAGACAACCTTTAATAGTCCCATTTCTCTCTCTAGTGACCTCATTAGTGCTTCGGTGGAGAAGGTGGGACAGTTCCTGTGGTGTCTTCCAGCTGGTTTTAACCAGTGAGTCCACAAGATGCAATTTATTTTAAACGTTAAATTACCACTTTGGTGTGAGCACGGGTTTCAAACTGAACTGTCTGCTTTTACCAAAACATTAATTGCACTAGAGGACAATTAATATGGCTTGAAACAAACATTCGCCTTCAAATACTGATTTAATGCAGGACACAAAGTAATCCCACTGAAGCTGTAAAAATATAAATTCCAGATTTTCCTGCCGACCACAAGTAGCATTTCACAGTTTAAAAATCTACTTTTGGGTTCTGTTAATTGTTGTAGGGAGGTAAATTAGAGGTAACTACGAAGAGCAACCCCTACCGTAGGCTAACTAACTGGTCTTAAAATAAACTGGGGTAGAAGATCTCTGATACCAGACAGGAGAGAACCAAGAAACACAGAAGTAAAAAAAATCCTTAGTGATGCTGCAAAACGCCCCGGAGAGAGAAAAAAAAAAATACCAAAGTATTTTTGGGAAGAGCTGGATTTGGGGTGGGCTCTGCCATGGCCCGGCGGTACTCGCACATCACCATGGGCTCAGCAGAGCAGGAACATCTCCTTTCAAAGTGCCACCCACAGCCTGGCCTTCAGCAAGTGACACACATGGGAGAGACACGAAGCACTGCTCATTTTTGATCCAGGGTAAGAAAGAAAAGCCCAACCCGAGGTGGCTGTGCCAGCACACGGAGGGGAAATGGCACCGTGCACAGGTTTTATCCTCCAGAGCGTCGCTGTGATGAGCTCAGGTGCTGCATCTCCAGCAAACCACCTGCGAATCAGCGTGTCCAGCGGGGAGCACGAGGGCAGCTGAGGTTTGAGTCACCCCTCGCTCTGGGTTTCAAGGTGTGAGTAACACACAGGAACAAACAGGATTTGTAAAGATAGAGAGGATCAGGGGAAAGCAGAGATTACTTCAAGCCCGGAGCTGAAGCTTTAGTACTTCAGCAATGCTTTTGTTTCTTCATGGTGAAGAGAGAGATGGATTTTTAAAATCCATTAGATAAATGTGTTTAAACCTACAAGGACTTCTGTGTTTCACAAAAAAACCCAAACCAACCGAACACCAAAGCCCACGATCACTAGAAATTTCACTGGTTTTCTTCCCCCACGTACAGACCAAAAAACCCCAGTAGCGGTTTCCGTTTCCGTGGTTCAGGGGGGTCTGCTGCAGAAGAGCAGCTTTGATTTGCTGTCGCTGTGGGGGCAGCCCCCAGCTGCAGGAAGGGCCGTGGGGAGCCCGGGCAGCCCCTGCCTGTAATGCAGTTTGGGGAGGCAGAGGGAAGCTGAGCGCATCGTGTTCACAGCGTGTGGAACACCAAGGGAAGGCAGGGGGCTGGGTTTATTATCATATAGATGGGTTCAAAACTTCATCAGGGCCAGGAGCAGCGTGTCTGATCAGCCTGTCACACGCAGCAATCACCCTCCCTAAGTGGATCTGGTGACCAGGAGAGCTCTCTGAGCCCCACCAAAGCAGGTACGAGGACGGAGCAGCGCTCATTTGAGAAGCGACTCTCAGCACCACGACAACAGGCTGCAGAAGAAATATCACCTGGTCAGAAAGCACAGGAGCAGCAGGCAAGAGGAATTAATATAATAATTAGAGTTTAACTTTTAGGCCCAGTCTAAGCAATAGACTCCTTTCTCATACTTGTTTACAGCACTTATTTATTCAAAGTAGTTTAAAAAAAAAAAAAAGAGGTAATTTAGGCCTGTAACAGTCCTGCTAAATCCAAACATAACTCACTCTTGGGCAAGGTCCAAGATATACTTCCATTCTTAAGAAGATCCAGCACCAAGATAAATGCTGAGACTCAACAGAAGATGAGGATGGGATGAGGATGGGATAAGCTGCAGGAAAGCACAGCACTGGCTGTATTTCTCCTCCAGTCCAGCACAGAAGACTTTGCTCAGAGGGAAAGCTGAGTTAAATCTCCATTGACAGACAGCATTGTGTGCTAAGTCAGTACAAGTTACAACAGCTGCCAGTTTTTATCCTCACAGAGCATTCGCCGTGGCATTTTCCAACAGGAGAACATCCCTGACAGCAACACAACAGCATTACTGGGACAGCTCACTCCGGCCTGAGCCACACGGACCCTCCTCCTCTCCCTTCCCAGGCACAGCCTGACCCCAAGGGACCTCCCAGAGGTTCTGCTGCAGCGCAGGCACACACAGACACAGCACACACACACCGACTGCATTTCATCCACTTCGACTGAAAAAAGGTGTATGGTGGCTGTGCAAACACACGTGACTTTCCTGGAAGAGGACAGAGACAGGAACCGTGCTGGAAAGAGACAAAAAAAAAACCCACCCGCAATCCACAGCGTGCTGCTACAAAGAGGAAAAAACAGAAGCCAAGTATTTAACAGGGACACATGGTTCTACTTTTTTTTAATTCCAAAGGCTGTCCAGAGCAAAGAAACTATCCGTCATCTACTCAGAGAAAAAAAAAGAAATCAAAATCAAACCCTAAAAAAGCCCTTCTCTCTCCAGTCTCACCTGGAAAAGGCTGTTGCAGCTTTTGAGCCTCCAGAAGGCCCTTCCCTACTCTATTACCCCAGCTCTATTACCCCTGCTGAACGGAAGGCAGGAAACTGAAGGAAATTGCACAACTGCTCTGGTACAAAAAGAATAGTCTCCAGCACTCCCTAGCTCTTCTGTGAAATGCCAGCCAGAAGCACCCACTGTTAGCAAAGAACTCCAGCTGTGACCCCCCTGGCTGGAACTCTTGGCTTTCAGTGTACAGCAAACACGGGTAACATCTTGGGCTTACCTGGCAAGAAGATAAAGCTGTTCTCCCCCAACAGAAACCCTGATTATCTTCACTTATAGTTGCCCAATAACTAAGCATGGGCTCCTAGGGCTCAGCTGAGTGTCTTTAGTCACAGAGACAACACAGACCCAAAATCACGTGTGCAGCCCGAGTCAGGTTTTCTCTGTGCCTTTAGTGAGTAGGTACAACGTGCATCACATTTTGGGACTCTGGGGCAGCGGAGGCTGGGAGGTGATTCCATCCCCACACCGAGCAAGGGGAAGGTCTGCTCTTGCCACGTAGCCATGTGCTGCGAGGAGATAATGCAAGAGCCTTTTATTTTTAATTTATCAGAGGCAGGACAGGGCTGAGCAGTGCTGTGCTCTCCCTGGGATCCACGCACAGGAACTCTCCTGGCTGCTGCGCTTCCCAGCGCTGACAGACCAGACCCCTTCAGGGTTACAGACACCAAACCTGCACCAAACAGGGAGTTTGATGTTTGTTTCCCTCCCCACATGCTTAAGACAAAGCAAAAATCAGTTTTCACATTAAATACTAAAACATCTGCACCTAAACGCGACGCCTTCGAGTCACTGCCAAGTGACTGGAATGTATCTGACAGTTTATACCTGGAATTATTCTTTGGCTCTTTTTCAGTTATATCCAGAAAACACCCCACACCCCAGTTCTGTTCCTATACCATCCCGGGCTGAAATCCTAAAAAGAACACGATGATTCCTCAGACACCGGAGAAAAAGGAGGGTCTTAGTCTTCTACTGAGGATATATCTCTGAGTATAGCAGTCCTTCTGCTGAAATAGCGTCCCCGAGTCCCACGGTCCGGACAGGATCTTTACACACCAAAACGGGAGTGAAATGGAAGGAGATGCCTTCTCTGTGCCAGTGCACCACCGGCTCGTCCGGATCCAAAGAGATCGGGGAAGGTGCCTCTATCTGGGAGGTCACAAACTCCAGAGGAGCTTTCAGAAAGACTTTGTGGGTGTCGATGGTTTGGGTGGCGCAGGCCTGAGTCCCCGCGGCTCTGGCCCCGGCAGCCACTGCAGCCACCTGGTTGCCCCAGTAGCCATCCACCGTGACGAGGATGTGATAGGCCAGGGTGTGGAAGTGGACGCGCGTGAGGTCGGAGGCCCGCTCCGCCATCTTCCCATGCTCCTTCAGGATCCAGAAGAGGATGTCGCTGACTACGCCCACGTCGGGAACGCCGCTCCAGGAAGGGAGGGAGGCGTGGGGCCCGGAGGCGGACTGCGTGAGGAAGAGCAGCTCCTGCTCGTTCAGCCCAATGGAGTTCACCAGGGGAAAGACCTGCTAACGGAAACACAGGGCAACAGTTGGTCCCTCGGGGACAGAATCAGACCTTGGTCTCCCTCGCTCAGGGTATCGGTTTTACTGGCTCCATCGCCAGCGCCCTCAGCAGCAGGGAGCACCCAGTTCCCCAGAGAGATGCAGACAGAAGCCACAAGCTGCCCCACTTCAACAGCTTTGCAAGAATGACTCAGCCAAGAAGACATGTCACACCAAAGGTACTGCTCTTTTTGTGCCATTCATGTTCTAGACACACACTTTGACGTTAAAGAGTAACAAAACATCAAGTCCATGTGAAACACTCCTAACACCAAGATTAGAGCTGTGTCAAGCTAAACAAGGAACCATCAGGATCTGCAGGAAAGAAATTCTGCAAAGAAACAGAGGGTTTTTTAAAATTATAAATTCAAATCCTGTTTTTTTCTAGAAATTGCAAGCCTGCAAAATCTGAACTGGCCAAAGTGACTTCTATCAGTGGAGCTGAGCATATTCTCCTGGGTCACTCGTGACTGCAAAAACCTCTTACATCAGAGAACAGAGCCCAGCTGTATTCACCACACTATTTTTACTGAATACAGTCGGTGAATAAACTCAGATCTGCAGAAAATCCTTCCTCCTTGCTGAAAACGGTCTGATGATCAACCCAGAGCATTACAGATACCTCCTCAATGCCACTTCCCAGAGAGACCTACCTAAATTGAATACTCTCTCTGAGCTAAAGAAAACAAATGTGTCCTCTGCGAAGCCCCAAGTCATTACAGTTCTCCTTCACTGCACAAAGGAGACTCTGGTGAGCTCAGCAGAGGAAACAGCAGCTTCCAGAACACAAAGGCAGACGTTAAACTCACGGTCTCAAATTGATCTCCAAATGGATAGCCCTAATTTTAAGTTCTCTATATTCATTTACCGGTCTCTGCGTTGTGCTACTGAAGAAAAGGAAACTGATAAAAAGAGTGTGTCCTTTCTTTTTCGTTACCTGATGCACAATGTTGCTCATGAAGTCTTGATCGGTCATACTGGCCAGCTCCAGGTGTATGGGGATGTCCGTAGGGATATCGGAGATGGAGGCCACAGCCTACAGGGGTACAGGGAAAGAAAAAAACCACCCTAAAACATATATTCATCAAGAAACACGAGGAACAAAGGGGTTTTAACTCAGAGATACACATTGTTTAATCTTCTCGTGTATGGATTTAAACACAATTCCAATTGAGATCTCTCAGAAGCACCAGAATGTACTGCTAAGGGGAAGAAATAAAAACAACTAGTTTTCAGAATCCCAGAGCAGGAAAACCAGATCTAACCCTCATCTGCACCCAACTCGGCACTTTCTAATGGACTAATTCAGAAACCTTGCAAATCTGAAGCAGCTGTAGAACAGCTGATCCTAGAACTGAGAAAAAGGGAAAAAAAACCCCAAAACTAGTGCATTGCATGAGGAAGGGCAATTGGCTGTAAGACAGGCACTGATCCGTAAATAAAAATAAAATGTGGTGGAGCTCTTTTGGACTCAGATGAGAAGGTGGCCTCTTGGACCATCTGCTGCCTCAGGAATGGAAGTCTTGATTGTAACCCCGATCATCTTAGCATCTGGGATAGAGAAAGTGTAATTTAGCCACCAGATCAGCTCTGGTAACCATGTCACTCTACTCCAGCCAGACCTGTGGGTTTTTTTCCCCTGGACAGCCCACTGTATCCAAGAAACACAAGTTACAGGTTTAGCCTTTGGCCATTCCTACAGTTCACATTCTTCTTTTAGCACACAGCACTGAAAAGCTTTGTGGGAGATGTGAAGACACAGCCCAATTACAAGTTCAAGCCTAGGAAACCAAAAGTTTGCCACGAAGCATTTGCTGGAAGGGAAATGAAGGTGGTGTTCAAGTACCTCACCTCCATAAGCCGTCTCTGCCGCATCTCCTTGCTCTGTCCTTCCATCATGTGAAGCCCTGAAAGTACCACCAGATCTGGCTGAAATTCATCCAAGCTGGACACAAACACTTCCAGCATATTTAATGCACCATTTGATAGGTCATGGGAGAAGAAAATTATAAATTCAAATCCTGTTTTTTTCTAGAAATTGCAAGCCTGCAAAATCTGAACTGGCCAAAGTGACTTCTATCAGTGGAGCTGAGCATATTCTCCTGGGTCACTCGTGACTGCAAAAACTCCTTACATCAGAGAACAGAGCCCAGCTGTATTCACCACACTATTTTTACTGAATACAGTCGGCGAATAAACTCAGATCTGCAGAAAATCCTTCCTCCTTGCTGAAAACGGTCTGATGATCAACCCAGAGCATTACAGATACCTCCTCAATGCCACTTCCCAGAGAGACCTACCTAAATTGAATACTCTCTCTGAGCTAAAGAAAACAAATGTGTCCTCTGCGAAGCCCCAAGTCATTACAGTTCTCCTTCACTGCACAAAGGAGACTCTGGTGAGCTCAGCAGAGAAAACAGCAGCTTCCAGAACACAAAGGCAGACGTTAAACCCACGTTCTCAAATTGATCTCCAAATGGATAGCCCTAATTTTAAGTTCTCTATATTCATCTACTGGTCTCTGCGTTGTGCTACTGAAGAAAAGGAAACTGATAAAAAGAGTGTGTCCTTTCTTTTTCGTTACCTGATGCACAATGTTGCTCATGAAGTCTTGATCGGTCATACTGGCCAGCTCCAGGTGTATGGGGATGTCCGTAGGGATATCGGAGATGGAGGCCACAGCCTACAGGGGTACAGGGAAAGAAAAAAACCACCCTAAAACATATATTCATCAAGAAACACGAGGAACAAAGGGGTTTTAACTCAGAGATACACATTGTTTAATCTTCTCGTGTATGGATTTAAACACAATTCCAATTGAGATCTCTCAGAAGTGCCAGAATGTACTGCTAAGGGGAAGAAATAAAAACAACTAGTTTTCAGAATCCCAGAGCAGGAAAACCAGATCTAACCCTCATCTGCACCCACTTTCTAATGGACTAATTCAGAAACCTTGCAAATCTGAAGCAGCTGTAGAACAGCTGATCCTAGAACTGAGAAAAAGGGAAAAAAAACCCCAAAACTAGTGCATTGCATGAGGAAGGGCAATTGGCTGTAAGACAGGTGCTGATCTGTAAATAAAAATAAAATGTGGTGGAGCTCTTTTGGACTCAGATGAGAAGGTGGCCTCTTGGACCATCTGCTGCCTCAGGAATGGAAGTCTTGATTGTAACCCCGATCATCTTAGCATCTGGGATAGAGAAAGTGTAATTTAGCCACCAGATCAGCTCTGGTAACCATGTCACTCTACTCCAGCCAGACCTGTGGGTTTTTTTCCCCTGGACAGCCCACTGTATCCAAGAAACACAAGTTACAGGTTTAGCCTTTGGCCATTCCTACAGTTCACATTCTTTTAGCACACAGCACTGAAAAGCTTTGTGGGAGATGTGAAAAAATAAAATGTGGTGGAGCTCTTTTGGACTCAGATGAGAAGGTGGCCTCTTGGACCATCTAACAGATGCTGCCTCAGGAATGGAAGTCTTGATTGTAACCCCAATCATCTTAGCATCTGGGATAGAGAAAGTGTAATTTAGCCACCAGATCAGCTCTGGTAACCATGTCACCGTACTCCAGCCAGACCTGTGGTTTTTTTCCCCTGGACAGCCCACTGTATCCAAGAAACACAAGTTACAGGTTTAGCCTTTGGCCATTCCTACAGTTCACATTCTTTTAGCACACAGCACTGAAAAGCTTTGTGGGAGATGTGAAGACACAGCCCAATTACAAGTTCAAGCCTAAGAAACCAAAAGTTTGCCACAAAGCATTTGTTGGAAGGGAAATTAAGGTGGTGTCCAAGTACCTCACCTCCATAAGCCGTCTCTGCCGCATCTCCTTGCTCTGTCCTTCCATCATGTGAAGCCCTGAAAGTACCACCAGATCTGGCTGAAATTCATCCAAGCTGGACACAAACACTTCCAGCATATTTAATGCACCATTTGATAGGTCATGGGAGAAGATGAAGCGGTTGGCGTTGGGTGCTCTCACCCGTCCCCACTCTTCACCTAAGGCGGAACAAACAGACGCACGTTAACACAGAAGAGAAGCAAATCCAACCACACATCTGGAGACTGTTTGGGGATATCCTGCTGGAATCTGAAGGCACAGTTTCACAATGTCTGTGTCCAATTAACAGCTACTGCCAGCCATAAAAGTAGTCTTGCTCTTTTTCTCTTCATTCGCTCCTTATTTAGCTGCTTGTCTGATCAGAAGGAGAATTCAATACTTTTTTGGTTTTGCAAGCTTTGTGATGTTTTAATCAGATGTTTTAGTTTAGCGTGCAATTACGTGTCACAGCCAGCTCACGCCAAATATTTGGAGTGTGCAGGATGTGCAAAGAGAGGGGAGACCTTCCCCTTCTGGTAACAACCATTGTCAGCTTGGCTTACGCTGTATCATGAAGGGACACCCCGATAAATCTGGTGGCTCTTACTGTTCCCCACTAGGGAGCTCCCAGAAAAGCTCTGCAGAAATAGAGCTGCATCAGTGCTCTACGTGTAAATGGTTTTATTCCTGGATAAGATCACAAATTAAACGGGCTCTGGCTGGGGGACACTGAACCATGAGAAAACAGGGTACTGACAGCGAGCCCGGAGAGGATATAAATGGCACAAGTCACAGTCCAACTGGCCAGCCCTCTGCCAGCTCTCCCCATCTGCACACACATCTCTGCTCAGGCAGCAGGCCGTGCCTCCTGCCCCTTACGATAACTGGGCAGAAAGAAATGCAAGGGAGTAAATAAACACAGGTCACAAAGGGCAGCTTGAACAGAAAACTCTTGAGACACAGGCGTTTTTGGGGGTATCTTCTGTTATAGGCAGGATCTCCACCTTAGAGCCAGCCTGTGTACTTCTTCACCAGGCTCTCCCAGACTGTACACTGGTTAGAGTTTGGAGAATATAATCAGCATTTGTGGAAAAGCCACTAAACCAGCATCAACAGCCATCAGCGCCACCTCCCCTTAAGAAAAGTCTTACGGCAAAGCTGTGTCGAGGGCAAAGATCCCCAGCTTTGCAACCGAGAACAGAGATGCTGAGGAGATATCATCTACTAACGTATCGTCTAATCGTGATGCTCCCAGGAGCAGGAACAATTAAGATTTACTTAAGGGATCAGTGTGATTTTCCTGCTACTGCAGATTTACTTAAGGGATCAGTGTGATTTTCCAAGTGGCCCTGTGTCACGGCCCTTGTCAGTTCTGGTACCCTTGTTTCAGGCAGAAGTCCAGCTGAGTGCATGCTTTGGGTGCTGCTCCACGTTAGTGCTGCTGCTGGAAATGTTTAATAAGGTGGTTCTTGCCCCTCTCCTTGCCAAATATTCCCTCTTCTGTCACACCAACACATCCTTTCTGAACGTTTTGAGACAGGCCTAGTGTGGAATGATGCAGGTTGAGAACAGCCAAGAAAATACATCCAGATTTGGCTTAGCCAGTATATTAGAGTTACCCTGAACTTCATCTGCACGTGGTTAAATGGTACCTTTGTACCTCTGTACCATTTCGGTACATTATCGGACTACTTTTGTGTTCATACAGCTTTAGATTTATACCCAGCAGACCCACTTGGTTTCCACAGGTTATAGGGTACAAGCACCCAGAACCAAAGGGGTGGCACAGGAGCAGCACAGTCGGTATTTACAGTAACCATATTACAAAGGCAAAAAGTCTCAAAAGACTTTTAGATGCCTGTTCACCCACCACAGCCCCCTGAAGCGCATGGAATTATGGATTAGTGCAGTGGCAGCTGCCAGTAGTGATAACTTACACAGCCCTTCTGGAATTAACCAGTTCAAAAAAACCTAACTCTAAAACCAGGACTATCTTAGTAATGTTCAGGGTTCTCAGCTACCACCCAGCCTTTGGCAAGGTACCTGCTTGATATTCCAAGATAAGATGGAATTCATCTCTTTCCTGCATGGATTCAGGCGGCACAACCACATTGTCATCAAGTAGTTCGTGGAGTTTAGGACCAACCGGGCCACAAAGCAGGATCTAGAAAGCAAGAAAAAATGATCAAGGTTTCCCTGCATGTCCCTTGCCAATATCTCAGTGTATGCAGTGGCCCCAAATCTGTTCATCTCTTCCCAGCAGCAGCTGATATGTAAAATAATCTCATACAGGAAACTACATCCCTTTCAGGGTTTGGGTAGGTGCTGTACAGACACCTTGACTTAAACCATCACAGGATTAGAACCAAACTCTAGTCACTCTCACAACCTTACTGAAAGATAGAGGAGCTCACCCCTGTCTGTCTCAAACAATGTGGCCCTCACACAGCCACCTCAAAAGAAGAACCAATTTTTCCTAAACTAAGATGAGAACAAAAATTTAGAGGATCAGGGTGACACAGGGGTCCATATTTATTAGAGAGAAGATTAAAACCGAAGCCAGTAACTCTTAAGAGACCAATAACCTGGAAGTCATCACCTAGACAATAGCTCTTTTTAAAAAATACTGAAATTAAAAATATATAATCAGCTATCCTTTTCAATTTATAGGCCAACCATATGTTCCACCATAACCCAAGAAATAACTGCAGGATCCCCAAAATCTACAAAAGATCTACTAAAGACAAACAAATAGCACGAAACTTCTGGAACACATACCTTCAGGTCTGGATGTGCTGCAAGCTTCTGGCCAATGAGAGCAGCATTTCCTCCTACATAAAGCTGTAAAACAAATGAAGGCAGTTATGGGCGTTCCCTCGCTTTGATAACTTTATATGTGCTTTGCCAAAGAACCACAGAACGCTGTGGGGTTGGAAGGGACCTCTGGAGATCATCTAGTCCAACCCCCTGCCAGAGCAGGTCCATCCAGAGCAGGTCCCACAGGAACGTGTCCAGGCGGGGTTTGAATGTCTCCAGAGAAGGAGACTCCACCACCTCCCTGGGCAGCCTCTGCCAGGGCTCTGTCACCCTCAAAGGACAGAAGTTCCTCCTTATGTTTAGGTGGAACATCTGTTGTTCAAGTTTGTGCCCATTTCCTCTTGTGCTGTCCCTGGGCACCACTGAAAAAAGACTGGCCCCATCCTCCTGACACCCACCCTTTAAGTATCTATAGGTGTTGATCAGATCCCCCCTCAGCCTTCTCTTCTCCAGACTAAAACGACCCCAGTCCCTCAGCCTCTCCTCATCAGAGAGATGCTCCAGGCCCCTCATCATCTTTGTAGCCCTCTGCTGTCCCCTCTCCAGCAGTTCCCTGTCCTTCTAGAATTGGGGAGCCCAAAACTGGACACAGTACTTCAAATGGGGCCTCCCCAGGGCAGAGCAGAGGGGCAGGATGACCTCCCTTCACCTGCTGGTCACACTCTTCTTGATGCCCCCCAGGATGCCATTGGCCTTCTTGGCCACAAGGGCCCATTGCTGGCTCATGGTCATCCTGTTGTCCACCAGGACTCCCAGATCTTTCTCCTCAGAGCTGCTCTCCAGCAGGTCAGCCCCAACCTGTCCTGGTGCAGGGGGTTATTCCTCCCCAGGTGCAGCACCCTACACTTGCCCTTGTTGAATTTCATCAGGTTCCTCTCTGCCCAGCTCTCCAACTCTTTGTCCTTAGAACAGGCTAGAGATTTTAGCTTTTTAGAAAACAGTCTAGGAGATAATAAAGCTTACTGGGGCTGAAGGCAAAACAGTTTTACAATTCTCTACAACATCAACAAGTTAGGTTAGGAATAAGTCAGAGAAAGCTTAAGTATTTGCCATGAGGTAACTCACACCCTTGTAGGAATCAATTCATGTGTAACACAAACAGCCCCTATCTCTGCGCAACTTTGTGGCAGGTGGTAACTTGTGGCTTTTTAGCAAGACTGACAAGCAATTATTTAAAAACTGCAACAATACTTTCTCTGCTCTGAAACCAAGGTTAAACCTGCTACCTGTGCCCACATGAAGGAAGCAGAACCCGTGAAAGTTTGTTCAGGTAAGAAAGGTCAAACTCTCAGGTAAGGCAACTCTGATGTGAGCTTTGAAACCGAAGAAAACAGACTGTCGTGAGTATCACAGGCACTCAGAGGTGGCAGAAAACAGGCTACAGAAGGGCCAACATAGCAAATGCGGTGAGAAGTCAACAAAGGAGAGTCTTGAACAACAGAAAACATTTAGAGCTCTTCCTCATTTTCAAAAGCAGCTGGTGAACTGCACAGAAGGGGTCATTAAGCAGTTTGTAGAAACTGATACCTTGCTTGGCAGTGAGCTAACTTAGACTCAGAAGACCCAGTATAAATTAGAGCAACAAAACTTTGCTTTTGGAAAGGGAGTCTTCAGAAAAATTATTTCTTTTCATCACCACTTCTTCTAGAGAGAATTTAAATCCCACGTTAAGGAGCTGAAGCTGATCGGAGTGTTTACAACTCCTAACGCTTGGATCTACTTCCTCACTTCCTGCCTCATTACAAGATATTGGAGCCTCTTACAGCACCAGCCCCATCTGGCTCCCAGATAACTTCACTCTTCCAGAGGCATCTCCAACTGACATTCCAGTCTTGGGACAGACCATTCAAAACCCTACTATTTGCAGCAGGTGCAGAGTTTTGTGGAAAGTCATGAACACACTCAAGCTGTAGGATAGGTTTCTTTCATAAAGAATTTGTACTGTTCCTAGGCAGAGAACAGAAGTCACCACCAATGCAGAAAATAAGAAACATGCTTCTCAGAGTTTGTCTTCAGGTGGAAGACCTACCTGCGCAGCGGGGTACTCGGAGGCTGTCTGTGCAATGTGATGGAAAGACTCGGCGTCGCTGAAGAAGCGCTCGGCAGCTGCCCCTTTTTCCATGAAGTGAGCGAACGCTTCTTTCAGGTCCTGTCTGGAGCTCAAGACTACGTGATTTTTTCCATCCCCAGGTTCAAGACCCAGCGCCTCTAACAGCTTCACGCCAGACAGAACCACGTCTACGCAGGCATTGACCCTGGGAGAGAGAAGGAAAATGCTGACTGGGAAAACCACAGGGACCTTAGGGCACTTGCAAGACAATATTGTTGGGATCACTTCCCGGCCAGGGATGTTTGCTGTTCACAGCCCTCGTGCTAAGGGGGAAAACAACCAACCAAATGAAAAAAAACCACAAAGGTGTATGAATTTCCTGAAATTCTCTCCTAAAGCAGCCTCCTTTTGACAGGCTTTTATTGCGCTCCAACACTGTTAGAAATCCCTCCCTTCTCTTCATTCTGGGGAATTAAAACAAGAATAATGATCTTTGGACCACGCAGCTTACATGTGTCGGGGTACATTTTGCACTTCGTGTGCTGCCTTAGGCTTGCTCAAAAAGGAATAGGCACAGTAAGAATAACATTTTATATTCTTAAAATAATAAGTTGGCTTTTTTAAAATATATGTTTCCGGCTTAAAAAATACATGCAATTCAGAACTGTTAAAAACAAAAGTGAAAGTATTGAAGTCTACTAGATCAGCCTCTGGAGTTTCAGCTCCTGCTAACAGTAACCGAAACCGCACACACCAACACCCCGCACACAACCTGCTGCTGTTTATAAGAAGTCAAGAGAGCAATTTGTCAGTTGAAATATTTGAAAACTGCAATTTCAAAAGGACCATCCCAAGTTTCCAGCGACAGCATGCCGCCTTCTCCCAAACAGCGGACAGGAGAAAAGTCCTGCAATTTTTAGGAAGTGATAAGAACCATTTCAGCAGATCTAGACATTATGTGAAGCGTAACCCATGACTAAATCTTGCAGTCTCCATTTCTGATCAATTACATCAACTTAAACACAGTCTAATTCAGACTAGAGAACAGGAAACTTTCTGGGCTGGAACCAGGAAGAAAGTTTATGAACACTTGCCTTCATTTCTACTCCTTGGTTTGAGAGAGACAGGGATACGTACCAAATATTGACTAAGACAATACCAGCAGTTACAAAAGCTTCTTCTGGAACTGCTGTCAAATGCAGTTTCCATTCCTCTGCCCCATGCTTCCCTGACAGAGGTCCAAACAATCTATAAAACTTTTGCAGGATATCCACCTTACTCTGTGAAACGTACAGCTGTTTAGTGTCCTTCCTTGTCACTGACCCCTCGCACACAATCTGAGCCACAACACATGAAGGCTGCACCATACAAAATAAAGGACAGCAAAAACCCCGAGGCTTTTCAGTACAGAAGGTGACCAGCTCAGAAATCATCCCTAGTGTGCATCATTTCATACACTACAGAGAGAAAAATCCCCCTCATGCAGCAGAGAAAAGAGAACCAAAGAAACAATAAGCTCAAGCAGCATTTTAGCCCCAAACTCACTGTGGCAAAAGGTCAGCAATTTTCTATTTTAATGAATCATTAAAGATGCAAGGAGCCATAAACCAAGTCACAGTTCTTTCAAGTGAGACACCTCTAATTATCTTCCAACTTTCTTCTCCCTTCCTACCATTCCTCCACTAACACACTTCATGCTTTTAATAAACTCCCTTAAGAGAAGGGATATGCCAGTAATGAACTCTGTTTGCTGTTGAACTTTGAGTTCGGTGTGCTTATATATTATTTTTATATATATTCAGTCACTTTAAACCAAAGAAGAAAGCAAGGAACAAACCAAAGACACCTGGAAGGAGCGGTGAAAGAGAAAGTTAAATGAGGCACTGGAAAACCTACTTTGCCATATATTCATAGGAAAAAGCATGGAACAACCGTAATGCAAGAGGAAGACAGACTCCAGCTAACACTGTATCAGCTACACAGCCATCGAGGTGGTGTAACCTCTTCCAACACTTGAAGGCCGAATCTTCAGTCAAAGTCAAGTTATCCTGTCATGTCCTTACATTTAAAAGAAAATGAGTCAAGCGCTATATATAACGACAAGATTAACGGTCACTTAGAGCGTTTCAGATCAATGTGATATTCCTGAACTTTCCCCTTCTTTCCAGTTTAAAAAGAGAAAGGGTGTTGGATTTCCCTGTGCACGCACAGGTGTCTTCAGTGTCTCTTGCTTTCTCCTCTCCCTTCCCTCATCTCTCTTCTTGGCCTCTCTGCCTTGACTCGGTTAGTTCTCCCCTGTCGTGGAGGCTTCACGCACTTCCCCACTTCATAAACTCATCTCTCATACCTATTCGTTGCCAGACGACGCTTCCCAGTTGCCACTTGCCTGGGGACAGGCCAGCAGCTGCAAGTCCCTCAGACTCCATGTATAAGTTAGTTTTATGAGGAAGCAAGCCGGGGATAAGGTCTCAGGAGATGGGCTTGCCAATCAGGTCTGAACCATGCCACACACTTAAATCACCATGACGTGACTTTTCCAGACCATTAATCCCCTCGGCCAAGGGCCACCTCTGCCTAAGCAATGCAGTGGGCAGGTGCCCGCATTCGCCATCATCTCCCTGGGGAAAATGCCCTCGGTCTGGAAAATTACAGGCCTGGAAAATTAACAGAAAGGTTTAATGAACAGGCAGGAGATCTGGTGCGAGGTGTCATAGTAGTTCAGGGAGGCTGCGCTGGTGAGGCAGGTGAGGCCCAGGCATACATATTCACACACAGAATCACAGAATGCTATGGGGTTGGAAGGGATCTCTGGAGATCATCTAGTCCAACCCCCTGCCAGAGCAGGTCCACCCAGAGCAGGTTGCACAGGAACTTGTCCAGGTGGGGTTTGAATGTCTCCAGAGAAGGAGACTCCACCACCTACCGCCCTGGGCAGCCTCTTCCAGGGCTCTGCCACCCTCACAGCAAAGAAGTTCCTCCTCATGTTGAGATGGAACTTCTGTTGTTCAAGTTTGTGCCCATTTCCTCTTGTGCTGTCCCTGGGCACCACTGAAAAAAGCCTGGCCCCATCCTCCTGACACCCACCCTTGAAGTATTTATAGGTGTTGATCAGATCCCCCCTCAGCCTTCTCTTCTCCAGACTAAAAAGCCCCAAGTCCCTCAGCTGTTCCTCAGCAGAGAGATGCTCAAGGCCCCTCATCATCTCTGTAGCCTCTGCTGTCCCCTCTCCAGCAGTTCCCTGTCCTTCTGGAACTGGGGAACCCAGAACTGGACCCAGTGCTCCAGATGGGGCCTCCCCAGGGCAGAGCAGAGGGGCAGGATGACCTCCCTCCACCTCCTGGCCACACTCCTTAATGTACCTCAGGATGCCATTGGCCTTCTTGCCCACAAGGGCACACACATACATACCTACTCACACTCACACATACATACATTCACACATACATACACGTATATATATATATATATAGCCACATGGACACACAGCCCGCCCCCCGCACCTACCCGACGGCGACGCGCGCCCAGCGGCGGGCCGGCCGGACGATGGCCGCCTGCCAGGCCGCCACCACCCGTTCCTCCAGGGAGCGGGCGCCGCGCAGCCCCCCCAGCAGCGAGGCGGAGAGGTGCCGCAGCGGCGAGTAGGAGAGCTCGGGGCCCAGCAAGCAAAGGTAGCCCAGCGCCAGGGCCAGGAGGCCCACGCACACCGGCCTCTGCCACATCGCGGGGCGGCCGCTCCTCCCCCGCCACGCCTGAGGAGGGACGCCGGCGGCGGCGGCCTCCTTACGCCGCCTCCGTAGCGCCCCGCCCCCGCCGGCCGCCAGCTGTCGTAAAGCCGCTTCGGGAATCGAGGCGGGCCCTACGCGAACGGCGCGGCCTCCTCTCCCTCAGCGCAACCTACGTACCTCCGGGAGGTACGGCGGCGCCGCCTGCGTAACTGATCTACGGGAATAAGGCGGGTGGCGGAGGCGGCGCGAGCGCGGCGGCGCTTCGTGAGGGGAAATGGCGGGGGGGAGCTGTTCCCTCAGGGGCGCCGCTGGGCCTCAGGGGCGTCTGGGGACGGTCCGACCCGGTAGAGCCCGGCCCTCGGGCAGCAGGGAGACAGTCCTGGACCCGGGAGCCTACAGTGAGAGCTGCCCTGGTTCTGCCTCGGGGCCTGGCCCTCACCGTGTGACTGGTACCGAGCTGAAGCCCATCTGTGGGCATCATTCCTCTGTACGTGGTACTGCTTCACCCTCCCCTCCCTTGGGTTCTTCCTTACGGTGCCCCTGTAGTCTGTCCTTTGTTGCCCAGCACCTTTGTGGGTCTGTGGAAGTGGGAAATACCCACTGTTGTGTGCCCCAACCCTGTCAGCGTTGTCCCCCAGCTCCTCCAACAGGTCCCGCCAGGCAAACCAGTCACTGACCTGGCACCCATCACTGGCCCTAGTGCATATTCTGGCTTCCTCTGTAGCACAGCTTCTGGACTCAGCCTCCGCCGTGCCTTCTCCAGGGTGAGTGAACTTCAGATCCCTGCCCACGCTCCTCCTGAGGCAGCCCGTGCTGGGAGCAGTGGGAGAGGGCGTCCTTTGTTGTCTCTCTCATCCCACCACAGAGGTGGTGTAGCAAGTCAAAAGGGAGGTTTCCCTTTTTAATCAAAGGGGATTTTTCTGGGCTTCTTTAGAAACCATGGAAATGTTAGCTCTAAGACTTATGACAAAATTTGCAAGAGTTTGACAACTGTGCGCCACAGTGCGTTGGCTGAGGCAGCTGATAATTTCCTTACTCAGTTCTGCCTTGTGAGTGATTGTCATCTCCTTTGACTCTGACAAAACAAACAGTAAAGGAGATGGGGTAGTAGAAGGCTTTTTGTTGATTTTTCTTTTGAGGATGCAAGAATTGGTATTCAGTCAACAGCTGATCTCCAGCAGGTGTTATCATGACTTCATGACTGGTCCTTGGGGGTCATTTGGCAGCCCGTCAGGTTCCCTTTCTTACTAGTCCTTACCAAAAAGGACTTCCATATTTTTTAATTATGTTAATTTTTTTTTTCTGCTCCCATGAAGTTGCTCCTTGGAGCAGGTGAAGGCCGAGGGTGCAAAGGGGGGCAGGACAGACAGACGATGGGGGTTGGAATTGTTGGGGAAGGAGAGAGCGAGGAAAAACATCCTTGCCTGGCGGCAGATGGTGTGCAGGGGCACTGGCTGGTTTTATGAGACTACAGCGTTATGATAATGTAACAATCTTTAAGAACAAAATCCTGAAAGCAAACTAGAGGCCTAGCCACCTTCCATATTCTTCAAGAAATCCTTCAAACAGTTCTTCCTCCTCAAATACCTGCTTAAAAGCCTTGTAAAAGAGTGGTTATCTTCATCTCAGGCCCACGTTCTGCCCAGCAGGGTGGGTCTGTTAATATGTAATCCCATTTTTCCTTTGCTCAGGTGGTCTTTGGGGTTTGTCAGTAGGCTTTTTCATTTAAACAAATTTACTCTTTTTTTCCCTTCGGCGCTTTTCCTGCTAACGTTTGATCTATATGTGATTATGAAATCTCACTTGCTTCCATACTCTTGAACTCCCCGGGGTATAGGCCTCGCAGTTATAAACAGCCCTCCAGTTCAAGGAGGCGATGCTAGGCTGTGTGAGAACAGAGCAAATACCTGCCAGAGCCCCTCGCTGCTCGCTGCAATCAGGTCTTCACCTGTGGGACTGTGTGTATTTATAGCCTTGTCACAGAACATCATAATTAGACATGCCCATAAGGCAGCCGCAACTCATAGCGTTGTCACAGCTCGGGGACCCCTTTATTAGTACTGTGTCATCAGAGGGTTAGGCTGCAAGCAGATAACCTATCTAATGCAGCAGTACCGTGGGGAATTAAGCCATGATCCCATTTTGGGGTGATTAGTTTCTCAGCTGATGCTAATGCAGTGTTCTGTGTTGCTGCCCTGAAGACTGAAGTTGGCTTTTTTTAACTCCCAGCAGAGGTATGGTTTCCACATCAACAAAAGCAAAGCTGCTCAGGAGGAACCACTGCTGTTCTCTGTAACCACAGCACCGTCTCCGTAAAGTACTGGTGCTCAATCTCCATGAACAGTTTTGTCAGTGGACTTGAAAGAGACTGCAAAGGTAATTGAAAGATTTGTTTTGTGATCTTCATTCCTACCAACCAAAACAAAAGGTTTAAAAAAAAGATAAGAGGTTCCCTCAGAGAACCTGTTCGCTTACGGAGCTAAACAGAGATTTCTGGGTCAACGTTGGTTTTAAAGGCAATGCAGATCTAGATTTGCCTCAGACAACCAGATTAGAACTGAAACACTCAGCTGAGAACTGAAATTTGGCTTCTTGTTTCCTTCCCTTGAGCTACCTGGTGCCCCACAAATTTTGGCTAGAGGTAGTAGAGAGGGACGCAGGGGTGTTGGATTCATAAGAGCTGACTCAGGCTGAGTAAAAGGTATTAATTAAATACCTGTTTGATTACAGAAATATCAAGCTGATTATTTCTGGTTCAAAGGTATAACACATTGAAAGACACCTGATTTAAAGAGTTTTTGCTGGAATACTTTCCTTAAAAGCTTAGGAAGAGAAGGGTAAGAGTGACTGGATTTTAGAACAGAAGGAGTTAAATCAAAACTTAATGATGAGTTTTCCTTCATTTCTTCTCCCTGGTTATTTGAAGTTCTTTGTATAAGAAATCCTTATCTTGACACCGTTTCATGGTATGAGCTGCTTGTAACTGGGGGTGGTGGTAGAGGGACAGTGGGTTTAATCAGTCTTCAGTTATTGGAAACGGAATTTGTTCCCTTTAGCAAAAAAAAAAAAAAAAGAGAAAAAGAGGAAAACAGACTGTCTGCAGGAGGCAGACAAAAGATGCATTTTCTTTCTTGTTTGAAAATTAGCTATGGAGAGTTGCACACGTAGCACAGGCTCTCAGCAGCCACTCAGAGCTGACAAACCTTTATGCATGAGCTTTTTAATGACCTTACTGAATTTGCTTTTCTGGCCACAGGCTCCATTTTGAGAAATGAGGGGTTTGCCTGACGCTTATTAGGGCAGGAAGCGAGAGGGAAGGGGATGAAGGTGGGCAAGAGGAGGAAATAGCAAGGAGGGGTGAAAGCCAAAGCTTCCAGTTCCCAAAGGAGCTGTGAAGACCTGTTTTTTTTAGCTTGAACTCACAAGCTTGAAGCAATTGTCTTTACTCCTTGTTAAGCCAAATTTACATATTCAAATGAACTCATTCCCTTTGACCCACTTTGGCCAGCTTAAACGGTAGCCCCATGCACAATGGGGAAAGGGGAGGAGTTTTTCTCAAACTATGAATTCCTTTATTGTTGCTGGGATCGGTCATGCGTATCTGTAATGCCTGGGATGGAATCTTTAGCTGTACCTAATAAACATTAGGCAGTACTTGGGGCAGGATTTGCATTGCAGATGCTGGAAATCTTGTTACCTCCTGTCCTGTCCCACATTCCCATCATATTACTGCCCCTCTCTCTGTTCCCCAGGCTTCATGAAGTCAATTATTCAGGTTTTGTGTGTCCAACTCACTCTTCTGTGCGTCATCGTGCCTTCTCTGCTATTAAACCTCTCCTGAAATCCCACAGTCTCCTGCTTTTGGGCCTCGTTTAGTCTGAACTCAAAACTCTTTACAGCAGGACCCATATATCAGTTTATATACATGAAACTAGTGCATGTGTTTGTGATGCTTGGCATCAGAAAAAGGTTTCTGACGTTTAATGAGAGCCAACAGCAGAATACCTGGGCGTGAGTGGTCACTACTGGCATGTCTTCACTGGGGGAGGAATAGGAAAAAGTGGAAAATCGGCCTTTTGGATGGATCCTAATAAAGGTCTGGAAAATTCAGCAGGTGAAAGTTTGTGCTGAGCCATGCAGATGAGCAGAGGAACTCTAATTAAAATACAGACTCTGTTGTTGTTCTCAGAAACTGGGCATCATTCCCCATCTGAGCTCTGCCAACTTATCTCTGTCCTGGACTTCAGCACCCACCGCTGCTCTGCTCCGTAAGGCACCCGCTCAGCTTGGCCAGCGCATCTCCATCTTGATCTGTAACACCTCCTGCTGTTCCAATTCCAAGCCCTTTTTGAGCAGAAAATGCCATCTCTCTCCTAAATTGTGCCAAATTGCTTAGTTTTGGCTGCAGAACTCATTTTCACTTGTCACCTAATGGGATACCTAGAGACTTTCATCTAATGCTGTCAGCAACAGAGGAAAAAGAACATGTGAATACCCAGCCCCCTGCTAAGTCCCCTAATTATATAGTGATGTGTTAATAACAAACACACTTTCATGTTTTGGCAGTTGCAAAACACTCATTGGTAATACAGCGCTTCAGAAGTAGCATCGCACAGGAAAGATGCAAGTCCCAGTTTAAATTGCTTAATTAGTATCAGGATAGTCTGTACCCAGAATTAGAGTTTGGAAGATATGCCTAGTATGAAGCTGTCAGTTGTTTGGATGTTCTGCAGAATCTGAGCCACCACATTAGAGAGATTTGCTGTTGCAGAAGTGAGTGTTCCTGTGCAGAGAATCTCTTTTCCCTCCCACCCTGCCTCATGATTATAAATCTGCCTCCTTGGAGGCCTCCCCAGCTTCCATTTTTCTGAGAACTCAGCAGTGGGGGGTGGAACAGCTTCCATCCCATCTGAGACAGCAGGGCTGGAGCTGGGAACATCCAGACCTAAAATTAAGCATTTCTTTCAATCTGAGCCAAACTGCTGGGTTTTGCAGTGCTGATAGCTCACACCCTGTGGTGATCAGCCTGGCTTTCAGCAGATCACGCAGGGACTGGAGCGAGCGTGAGCCACCACATGCGCTGGTGAACACCCTGAGCAATTAGAGTTGGTGGCAGTGACTGCCTGAGCCTTGTTTCTGGAGCATATGGTTCAGATCGACAGGGATGGGAGAACTAAAAACCTTGTGGGAAGAAGACAGGTTAGGAAATTCAAGAAAGAAGTGAGAAAACTTTGGCAAGAAAATGCCTTGACTGCATTTCCATTCTTGCCCCTGTGAGATTCCAAGTGCTGCTGCACCAACTGCGACGCTGTCAGGGGCTGGGAGCTGCAGAACAACAGGACAGTGAAACCCCTATTTATCTGTCAGGTTTGGCTCTGTAAACGTCACGGGAGAGTTAATAGATGTATCACAGGTGGTGTTCTATGCTGTCCAGAAGAAAGAATGGTTCTGTATCTTATATGAGCAATGTGTATGGGTGTAGCAATGCTTTAAGTGCTTTCCTATCTTCTCAACTTCTTTGGCAAGGTAGAAGATGGATGACAGATGCCCAATCTTATCTTTGGAAAGGAACTCTGAAAACGAAACTCTCAAAATACTCTTTATTCCTCTAAATCCATCCAATTACATCCATCCACATACTCAGTGGTGAGTGTTATGTGGATTGCATCTCATAATACATACTTTGGATTCCTTATTATATAGGTTATAATTTCCATTCACATCAACAGCAGTGCTGGTGTCATTGGCAGTGAATGTGCCTCGAAATGTTCGGTGTGTATCCAAACTGACCTCCCTACTGTGACACAGAGTGTTGCTAAAACATCATCTCTACCTCATCATATACCTCCAACTAACAAACTGGCACAGTACAACCCTGTTATTTCTGTGTTAGAAATGCAACACTTCTTTCTGATACCCTTCAAAAATACTCCTAAAGCCATATCTCTGAGAAGCCTTAGCTTTGCAGCCCTTTAGGCTGTACTTGGAGGCCTTGCTGTGGCAGAAGACTGAGGAAGAGAGGTGTAGGCAGGCCAGGAGAGACTAGAATAGAGAAGCCAAAGTGTCTGCTGCCCTGTAGGTCTGCCTGCTCTCAGCACTGTACTCAGGGGCCTGTTGAGGGTACTTTGCCAATGGGCAGGAGAGCTTCAGGTCAGATTTCTGTGAGCACAAGGGAGGGAAAATGCATAAACTCTGGCTGAGAGCCACACAGTTTTACCAGCAAAACCACACTCTTGGTAGCATTGTTTCATGAAAATAGGCCTTTTTTCCCCCTGTTTCTTATTCAGTGTGTATCCTGTGTCTATGACAAGGTGACCTGCTTAGTGGAGGAGGGAAAGGCTGTGGATGTCTACCTAGGCTTTAGGAAAGCCTTTGACACCGTTTCCCATAGCATTCTTCTGGAGAAACTGGCCGCTTGTGGCTTGGATGGGGGTTCACTTTACTGGATAAAAAATGGGCTGGATGGCCAGGCCCAAAGAGTGATAATGAATGGAGTTAAACCCAGTTGGTGGCCAGTCACAAGTGGTGTTCCTCAGGGCTCAGTACTGGGGCTAGTTCTCCTTAATATCTTTATCAGTGATCTGGAAGAGGGGATCGAGTGCACCCTCAGTAAGTTTGCAGATGACACCAATTTGGGCAGGAGCGTTGAGGGTAGGAAGGCTCTACAGAGGGATCCGGACAGGCTGGATCGATGGGCTGAGGCCAGTGGGATGAGGTTCAACAAGGCCAAGTGCTGGATCCTGCACTGGGGTCATAACAAGCCCATGCAACGTTGGGGAAGAGTGGCTGGACCTGGGGATGTTGGTCAACAGCTGGCTGAATATTAGCCAGAAATGTGCCCAGGTGGCTGAGAAGGCCAACAGCATCCTGGTCTCTGTCAGGAACAGTGTGGCCAACAGACTAGGGAAGTGTTTGTCCCCCTGTACTGGGCACTGCTGAGGCCCCACCTTGAGTGCTGTGTCCAGTTTGGGGCCCCTCATGACAAGTGGGACATTGAGGGGCTGGAGCGGGTCCAGAGAAGGGCAACAGAGCTGGTGAGGGGTCTGTGAGGAGCAGCTGAGGGAGCTGGGGGTGTTGAGCCTGGAGAAAAGGAGGCTGAGGGGAGACCTTCTCTCTCCAACTCCCTGAAAGGAGGGTGTAGCCAGGGAGGGTTGGTCTCTTCTCCCAAGGAACAGGCTATGGGACAAGAAGAAATGGCCTCAAGTTGTGCCAGGGGAGGTTTAGGATAGATATTAGGAAAAATTTCTTCACCAAACGAGTTATCAGCCATTGGAAGGGGCTGCCCAGGGCAGTGGTGGTGTCACCATCTCTGGAGGTATTTTAAAGAGAGGTAGATGTGGTGCTGAGGGACATGGGTTAGTGGTAACTTGGCAGTG